GATCCTTTCCATGCTTTTTAACACTTGGATCATTGTAGCTTGTAGCTCTTCATTACTTCCCTTTCCTTGTGATATTTCAGATGTAGTCGGGCTATCTGGAGCCACCTGTCCGGATGGGGAAGAAGGATTTTCTGATTGTTCTGCCATTTGGAGAAGACCTTCCTTTGGATTCTTTTTATCAAGTTTATGGTTCTTCTTTTTGGACATGCAAGATCTGGAAGTTTGGATCCCACCGGGCGTGCCAAAACTATGTTCGTGGCAGGAATTTCCGCTGGGGATGTTTCCTGGCCGACGAGCACACAGCTCCCCTGGAGGTTGGCGTCGGTTGAGGGCTGCTGTCGGGCTTCTGCTTCGTTTCTGAGCGTTGTCGGGCAAGTCTCGTCGGGCAAGGCTCTTCGGGCAAGGCTGAAAGAGAAGGACAAAGTTAACTTTGAGAGGTGCCTTTGTGGGGTCTTAGGTATAGGCCTTGAGGCTCACAATCAAGGTTAACATTTAGGTGCTTAGGCGTGCCACTGCCATCTTTAGCATGGCAGATGTAAAATGGTTGTCGTTCTTTCATTGTATATATATAATGAATCCAAGAAACCGTGTTTAGTTATAACAGGTGCCTTTGTGGGGCCTTAAATGTAGGCCTTGAGGCTTCCCGTACATAACTAAACCAGTACTCGAACGCATCATATGTATTCTTGTGATTGTAGGAGTCTTCTAACTATTATATTTCTGATTACCCGAATCCAAGGAATAGAACGAACCCAAATGGGTGCCTTTGTGGGGCCTTAGGTGTAGGCCTTGAGGCTTCCCATCAGAGTTCATTCTTATGCTTAGACTCTTAAGATCGCTGAATAGGATGAATCCAAATGGATGCCTTTGTGGGGCCTTAAGTGTAGGCCTTGAGGCTTTCCATTAGAGTCCATCCCATGCTTAAGCGTTCTATGATAATCATGATATAATAGAAAGAAAACTAGAAGGTAGGTCGATTACTTGCGCCCCAAGTAACTTCGGACTTCTCATTTATCAAGGATTGTCGTGGATGGGTTAAGTCCACATAAAGTTCTTTTTTTATGCCTTGAGGCCAAGCAAGGACTTTTAAACTAATCAGATTTACATGCCTGCGGGCTTAGGACTTGGATCTAATTTAAGCATTGAAGATATATTTAAATCAGATCCAAGTGTTGAGAAAGCTTTGTCATCGTGATTTTGCTAGGAACAACTTGCATATAACTAAAAACATACAACATATCGCTAGACTTTAAAGAAAGAAAAGACAAAGACAGAACAAAGCAGGTCGGGCAAGATTAAACCTTATTAATTAAGGCTGATCGTCTTGCAGGTCCCTATCTTTGTGGTTCTGTCAAAGGTCTGAAAGCTTAGGCGGAGAGGGGAAAGGAGAATACAAAAGGATGAATCGATACTACAACAAGTTTGAACAAGGTAGCAGAGCTATTACAAAGTTTAGGAGAAAAGATTATCCCGAGGGGGATGAAAGCTTGGGCTGACTACAGCTTCGTTTGAAGGCAAATCTGGCTTTTTGAGCAGAGTTTGTGCTTTTGTTTGTTTGTTTGAGTGTCCTTATTCCTGCCTTCTCTTCCTCCTTTTATAGACTACTCGGTTTGGCTCCTGTAGCAACAGCTTTGCCCGAATGCGGTCTGAGGGTGATGACTCATCAGCTTTATTACATGTAATGCCACCATAAAGTACTTTATGGGCTGTGCAGTCTGATCAGTCTATACCACTTGGTCCTTGGGTAGGTAGGCAAGTGGCCTTTGTGAATTGTATCAAGTCAGAAAAGGCCATTTCCTGCCTTCCCAAGTCTCGGCTGGGCTTTGATCTTCTATTCCTCCAGGCCTTCTTTTGGGCCGACTCCATCCTTGGGCCTAAAGTTCAGTTTTTAACCCAAACAGAACCTATCAGACTTTGATTATCGGAGACGATCACCATCACAGGACAATGACGAGTCGTCATTGTGACTGGTCTTCGCAACCTAGGGAAGCATCTTGACTTCCAGTGAAGGAGGTGGGTTGGCGGTGTTGACTAAAGGTCAAAACTGACATCGGTTTGGTGACCCAACTCGCGGCTCGGTGGCTCGGTGGCTCGGACGCAAAGCCGCGACTTTTGCGATTTAGGATTTTGAAATCCTTTGTTTTCTTTTTCTTTTTCAACAGATAGACCCACAAGTATTTATCAACATATAACATGTATATTACGCAAAACAGTAATCAGAGTATTTATGGCATAAATTAAATTAAAAAAAACCAAATAAATTAGGGGTTAGGATTACTTGGATGTTGATGAAGATGGTGAAAGTAGTGGTAGCAAGATTTAAAAAATTAGCGTTCAATATTTACAAAAAATTCGATAACAAAATTCTGAAATTTTTTAGGGAAATAGAAAAAAATCACCCATTTCATTAATCTTGGGACAAAAATAGGACAAACCGGCCATGTGTAGTTATGCACATCATGCATAAAACCGAAATGACTAAATACCCACATATGTACTAAAAACTCTCATCTCATTGCATCACTTTACATCATTTTTCAGATTTGGAATCGAGGAAGTCAAGAGAGAGTGTGAGCTCTAGGTTTTTGGGTTGAGCTCAGATTTGTGAGCATACCATGTGCATATTATATGCATGTCGTGTACTTATTGTATAAATACAGTGTATAAGTGAGCTTAATACAAAGAGAGAGAGAATGAGTTCGTGAAATGATTTCATCCATATTCTTCTCTTTTCTTCTTTCCACTGATTTCTCTTTTTTCCCTCAAATTTCTTTCTTCTCTAAAAGCCAACTAAACTTTATTACTTTTTTTTTAATTGCAGCCAAATCCAAACCTTATTTTAGTACTTGCAAATTTCGATCGAGAGAGGAAACAAAAGGAGGGAGAAGATAGAAGGATTAAAAATCCACATATAAAATTGAAGTGAAATTAATTTAATCTCAAATCTGTAAGCATATCATGTGCATATTGTGTGTATACAGTGTATGCAGTTTTTTTGGAAAATTGAAGGATTTGGGTCTCCTTTAAGAAACACCAAATCAATCACTTCAACTCCAAAAGTCCACATTTTTCATCTCAAACACAACTATGTTGAATTCAGTATGAGGGCTAAAAATAAAGAGACCCAAAAACATATTTTTAGCCTTCAAAATTTCCCAAAAAAAAAAAGAAAAGAAAATGAAAAAGGGAATTCCCCATTTCGGCATGAACATAATAAATTGGAGGCGGTGTGTGGGGGCAGGGTTGCCTCTACCGGATAGGATGATTTGAATAAATTGGACCAATTAGTTGGTGGAGTGGAGTGAGTGGGTGAGAATTTGGAATCTGAAATACCATTTGTTCATAGAGGAAAGATAGAGAGAGGTGGATTGTGTTGGTGGCAAAGATTTCTCTAGAGAAGGATACTCGAACTTTAGCACAGCTCCCTAAGGGATTGGCACTTTGAATGTGTAGTCGGGCTTTTACTTGTTGATGCGCTATAAGAAGAGGACAAAGTTAGTTATGAAAGGTGCATTTGCGGGGCCTTAGGTGTAGGCCTTGAGGCTCGCAATCAAAACTAACTAAGTGCTAGGCGTGCCACTACTATCTCAGTATAGCAGATGTAGAACAACTGTGTTTTAATTCAATTACTTGCGCCCCAAGTTACTTGGACTTCTTGTTATCAAAGGATTTTTGTGGATGAGTTACGTCCACATTAAGTTCTTTTCTTGCCTTGTGAACAAGGACTTTTAGTTCATAGTCTTGTATGTTCGAATGAAAGGAGTCCAGATCCCCTTAAGTCATTTGTTTGGTCCTAGATTGCCTTTAATGAAAACATATCCATTAAACTAATCGGATCCAGATGCAAATGAGACTCTTAAAATAGGAAAACAAATGGAAATAACTTGAATACATGCTAGAGAATGCACTAAGCAATAGATCTATTAATTTAGCAAACAAACAAAGAGCTTCGGGCAAGATTTCATCTTGTCTGTCAAAGTTGAACTTTCTTGCAATCACTTCTCTTTGAATTTACAAGGTTTATATGCTAAAAAGGGATAGATAGTAAACAAGTTTACATAAGGGAATCGATACTACACCACTAAGGGAAATAACATAGCTTTTAACCTAGACAAAAGATAGCTTTCGTAGGGAATTATCCTGAAAAAGGACTGAGATCGGGGCTAATTACAACTTTTGCTAAAAAATTTGAGATCTGGACTGATTACAACTTTATGGTTGCAAATCTGGCTTGAAAGCAGAGTTTGTATGTTTATTTGTTTGATTGGTTTGGTGTTTTTATCTCTAGGGCCTCTTTTCCTTTTATAGGCCAATTAGCCCGACTGTTATGACTTAGCTCTTGCCCGAAAGCATCTGAAGGGTAGTGAGTCATCAGCTTTCACTTAGAATGCCACTAGAAAGTGTTCTTTGGCTGGTAGTAGTTTAATCTTCATCACTTGTCACTTCAATGTTAAGCACGTGGCTTGTATCTTGGCTGTGAAGGCTTCACTTTGCCTTTGGGCTTGGTGTTGGATTTCAGGCAAGTCCCCTTTTAGTTGACATCCTTGGGCTTTCCTTTATCTAGGTCCAGTGTTCAAATATTAACCTAAACAAACTGTAAATACATCTAGCCTGAAAATAAAATAGCTCAAAAATTTAAAAAGCACCAACCTTTGATGAGATTATTGCCTGCCTGCTGTTGGGTCTTTGGATTTTGGCTCTGAGGAGATAACAGATCCAGAGAGAGAATGAACCGAGAAGATGAGAGAGCGAGTAGAGAGAGAAATCAAAAAATGTGGGAGGGATTAACACATTTATATATAAGGGTAATTAAGTCATTTCAATGTGTAGGAAAAATCCTAGTTCTGTCCTATTGTTGTTCATGGCATGTGAAAAATCCTATTTCTGTCCCAAGATGAAGAAAATGAGTCATTTTTGTATATTTCTCAAAATATTATCACACTGAGTAATCACGCCAAAATGCTCAACGTTATGTCCAAATATAGTCCTAATCGATTTCGCACAAAAAAAAAAAAATTATTATTACAAAATTTCAAGTATGATTACATGAAAGCATGAGAACTTCCTGGAAACAGTAAGCCATTGTTACAATACTGCCACACAAACTTTATGAAACAAAAGAGACAATAGTCATTCTATAGGATCATATCCCTTAAATGGAATATGATCAATGTATGAGTGCCAGTCAATTGATTGTAGTCTTCTTATCATCTTCCCATTCTGCCTTCTTTCTTACTCAACCATTAGTCTGATTTGAAGTTCTTGATTCTGACTAATTCTCTTTTCAGGGCTAACTTATCTTGGAGTGAAAACTTGTATTCCCAGAACCTTCAGAAGTTGAAACCTGATCAGTATCGTCGAGACTATTTGATGGGCCAGCTTCATGGCATGTGACGTCCGCGTTCTGAGTCTTCAACAAGCTACTACTTGTTTGTTGTTGCAGATCAAACATCTCCTTGAACTGCTTTCCTTGTTCTTCAATTCGTAGCCGCAACTTTCGTTGAATCTGCATTTTGAAATAGTTGAATGAAATTTGTTATGAGGATTGGAGTATTAAGAATGATTTTCTACTGCTACCAAAAATATTTGGAGATCATTTATATATAACTTGAGAAACCACAGATTTGGATCTCATGAATGCATACCTCCAACTGTTCGTGAAGACGCCGCTGAACATCTAATTGCAGTTGGAGCGCCTCTTTGATTTGCAAGCCACTGCCAAAAAGTTCACATCATAGGTTTGTAAGAAGCTGGAGGATATAAAAGGAAAATATCAAGGCGAATGCCAAAACTAAAACCAAAAGCGTGTTCATTTCGCAATGGTAGACTGAAAAACCAGAATAACAATCAGAGTAATATAAAATGTTACGTTTTCACATCGAGATGGGGTTCAAGATTCAAAGTAGTCCTTTTCTCAGATTTTCCTGTAACACAAGAAAAGTACTCGGGTCAAAACTATAGTTAAAATAAGCACGCCAATTGATCATTAAACTTTATAGGCAGTTGTAGTTTGTAACAAGAAGTAAAAGTCTTATTCACTAGGAACGGATGTATGATTTGAACAATTTGATATTTACCTTCGGCAGGGTATGGTAGATATTTCGCAATTCGATATTTCTACAAGAAGAATAAAAAGGGGAGAGGAAAATAAATCATACTTCTAGAAAAGTAAAAAAAACAAGAAATTTTTAATGGATTCCTTTAAACCTGCAGGTGACTTTTAACATGAAAGATGGTTAATCCATCCAAACACATCATCTTCAGTATTGCCTTCGGTGTTGCTTCTACAATGGATCAACAGATAAAGAAACATATCAAGTATTCGATCGTAGTAAATTGCACAAAATTATACCAAGTTACTTACTTTCAGCACCCCCAAGACGATTTACACACTCAATGAACTTTTCGTGAAGATCTTGATTCCAACGAATTCGTGTTTTACTGGAGAGTACAGGGCTAGTTGAAGGGGAATTACCATATGCAGTGGAAACATTTCCGGAGGAATATCTTGGCGACTGCTTTCCTTGTTGAGAAAAGAAGCTCGGTTGAGTTACCGGGGAAGTATTGAATGAAGTATAACAGCCCTGTGAACAAGAAACTAGAACATATGGATATCTTGAGGTGGAGTATATGAAAAATCAATGCACAAAAACAGCAATAAAAAAAGATGATGATTCAAGAAATATTCATAGTACTTGATCCTGATTTTCTTTAGAAGGAAGGGATAAGGACGGTCTTCTAATTGTAGTAGTTTTATGATCTCCATGCAACTTATTTGATTGATGTGCAAAGAGCTTACTGCCTGACAAATCGCTTCCCGGGATTTGGTTAAACTTCTCTGAGGATTTATGGTATTGATAGCTGCGGGGTTGAGTTTTCACAATCGACTGCAAAGTGTTTCTGATGTCGAAATCCAGATCAGTTTGCTCGGATGAATTCATGGAGCTGTAGCTTTCATTATAAGATTGACCTGAAGGGAAATGAGGATTATTACCAACTTGAGAGTCATACTGTGGAAACCCTCCCATACAGCGTTCAGTTGCATAAAAAGTAGAAGCCAGAGATTCGAAGCGGCTCGTAATGCTGCTGGGAGATTTAGGATCCGGAGGCCCAAGATTTTGAAGCAGTGACACTCCATGATCCATGGTGGGTTGCTGAACCCAAATTCCCATGTTGTTCCAAGCCTGTTGTTGCTGCTGACCAAAAATTTGATACGACTGATTACCAACTTCAAAATTGCACTCACTGATTAATTCATGGCTTTGTTGATTTATTTCTTGGCAATCTGTCTTCTTCTCATTCATTTTCAAGGTGCGATTCGAAACACCGTTAACAAGAACAAGAACTAGCAGTCCGACTTCTGCTCAATATCATTGCCCAACATCCGAAACCCTATCAAAATACAATTTTTCAGAAAGAAAAAGAACAGCAATGTTAAATGCAGATTTATGGAATATAAGACTAACATTTATTCCACGAGACGTCAAGTGTAAGATTTGAATATGCAGTAATATTAGAGTCCTTTTAATTGTTCTAAAAAGGATAGGTACGACCACTTATTGATATAACCAAGGAAGAAAAACATTGATAAAAACGCAACTCATCCCATTACAAACAAATGTGTCGACAAACTATGTCCTAATAAGGAGAGCTTAGAATTATCGTGCTTGACGTGTCTCATCACCTAAAGAATAAAACAGAAATCTTCAAAAACAAATGGATAAAGGGTTTCAGAAGACAAAGCTAATGATTCCCAACATGTTACTATTTTGTCGTCAAGATTTGGAATTGGAGAATAATTTAATGACGGCATCTGTGTACATATAATTATACAAGAGATACTGGCATAAATTCACAAACCAGATCAATGGTTATTGTTCCTGTCATGGATACGGATGAAAATCACTTTTTGGCCACCCCAGAAAGATGAAATTAAATAAAATGTGCCCATATTTTATCTCAAAAGAATGGTAGTACTAATCCAATGTTCTGATCAAGAAAAAAGATAGAAAAACAAAAAGATCCCAAGAGAAATTGCATCATGTAATGTGGATATCTAAAATTAGGATCCCTGAATTACAACAAAGTTCATCTAAAGGGTACATTACTCAAAAACTAGAAGCACAATAGACTTTTGTAACAATAAAGATTCCCAAAACGTGTTCATAACCTCCTGCATTAATAAAATGTATTTTTTTTCATTCCAAATGATATTTTACACTAGTCTAAAAGGAGAATATGAACCTGAGATGCAGTGGTAGAAAACTTTAAATACATTTTATGAAAAAAAAGAAAAATTATTAACAATTATGTATATCTCTCTCATATTAACCTCTCATCTATAACATTTAAGATTTAATCATGACACGTGGCCTTCAGATTCGATTTCCCCCTCCTCAATATGCTTGTATATAAAAAATTTAATTGAAAATAGAATTTCTCAGTTGCAATCAAATTTTTCAACAGATGCTAGCAAGATAGTTTCATCGTAGTAAACATGCAATTTGACGAGGGGATAAACTTTTTCTATCGATCTATATATATTTAGAATCTCCGACTGGCCTCCTTAACCATCCAGATGAAGATGACCATTTTTTATTCCTATACATGCACATAGGGAGAATCAAATGCGTCTTAGTGATGATTATTGGTATTTTTACAAGTCGGGTCGGAAAGCAGGATTCCTCACTGAGACAATCAAGTTCTTGAGATTTTTTTATAGTGCTCGGGAGTATTCGATACTCCAAATCTTTTAACTGTAAGATTATCGTTGAAAATAAAAATAAAACTAAAATTCAACGATAAATTCTCGAAATATTCCCTAGTCCAGAGCACCATATAATTTTTCCTAATTCTTACTTAAAGAGACATAGCACTTAACTTAATTCGATTGAGTGTGAACCTATATGGATAGCACAGGGACGATCGAACTCCACTTGTTTGGCAAACTAGCTAGAAATAGACCAAATCCACTTGAGTGTTGAGAACCTAGAACCTTATTCTATGTCTTAATCAGAAGAGAATCTAAGTTATGGAAAGCAGAAGCACTTTCTCAAGGTGCAGGATCTATCTATCTATAATATTTGCCAACGTTGGGATAGCTGTTTCCTTCCATCCGATTTCGATTTTAATTTAGGACCGTTTGATAATCATTTTATTTTTAATTTGTTAGTTTTCACTTTTTGCTCTCGTGAGAAAAAGTACAAGGAGAAAAGCAATGATCAAGAAGGGTGATGGAGAGAGGGAAGAAATAATGAGGAAAAATGAAAACAAAATCTTTTCAAAAATACTATTATTACCACATTTTTTCATAATATAATTGTACCGCCACTTAATATTACAGTCTAGTGGTATTCTTTTTCACTGGTAAATGAGAGGTCTTAGGTTCCATTCTCGCCAAAAGCGAATTTGAACCACATTATTGCTAACTCATTGTGAGGCTAATAACATGAAGGGGTGTGATATCCACACACCCCATTTTACTTCTCACACACCTTTTTAATTTTTGGCCGTCGGATCAGATGAATTGAAGAAGATCACGGACATAAATTATCAAGGGGTGTGTGAGAAGTAAAATAGGATGTGTGGATAGCACACCCCTAACATGAAAACAACTTAAATACTTTTTCGTGTTCATTTTGTGTGATTTTTCTTATCTTCTACATCTCTCACATCATTCTTTGTCCACTAATTCTACTCCCTTTCATCCCTCATTTTCCCTCTATCACTTACATAAAAAATAAAGAAAAGTGTTGTTGACACTTCAAAAAAGTCGTTTTGCACTTCTTATAAATAAATTTTTATTTCTAATAGAAAATTTTGAAGTGTAAGATGACTTTTTTTTAGTGACAAACATCTCCCTAAATTTAATCTATACTAAAGCTAAAAATACACTGAAACACTGTTCATAAGAATAGTGTACTTTCGAAAATGCCCCTGCTTTAATTGTGTAATTTCAGTATTAGTCTAATCTAAATCTGATTGAATCTGGACCGTTCATATTTTTGGGCAGTGTGATAAGAAATCAGTCCGTCCATATTGTTGAATCTTCTTCTGTCTGCTGATCCATCATTCTTTCTCTCGCTCTCTCAACATCCCGATAACCCCCAACCCCACCCACGAACCCAGGTACACCCAAAACAATCACCATTCTCATCCTTTCGACCTCACGAACTCAAGTCTGAGCCCATTCTTACTTTCTAGGTCAAGATTTCATGGCTTTCATGTACGATTTGGTGAAGGTTTGAAGAAGATTGAAGCTAAATCCGTAACCTAGATTCTGGTGAGGTTTTCCGGCGAATCCACTAGCTTCCCTGTATTTTTGAGGCCCTCACAGTCACCCAATCCCAAAATCTTAGGTATATTTTGATTCTACGCCTCTTGGGTCTATATATTGTGATTTATGTCAAAATTTGGGTTAATAGATTCTTCAACTTTGTTTTGGATCAAATTTTGGGTCTTCATGTTGTAATTGATGTTAAAATTCTAAAATTTTGACAATCTTTATTGATTCATCGAATTTTGCACTATAAATGATGTAAGAGTTAGTCTTCAGGGGTTTAAGAGAAGGGTGGTTTTACAGGAGTTTACATCTGCTTTAATAAAAACGAAATTATATTACTAATTAAATTTCATATCTAACAAAACAAGAAAAATATCATAAGATAAATCGTAATATTAGTAAATTGGTTTACTACAATTGTTAGTATATGTAGCAATCCTACGAGATTTTTATTTTTTCTGCCCTCAAATTGTAATTTTTCCATGTCTACCACTTGAATTATACAGAAAAGACTTAAAATTTTCACTTTTATACCGAATTAAGTATTACTCTACTCCAATGTTTTCTAATGCAGATGTATGTGGCGTTTAGGAAACCAGAGCTTTTGCCAACGCCAAGAGTTGTAGCTGGTTCAACCTGAAGAAAGGTTAATTTTTTTTACAAAGTAAGTTCCAATTCGTTAGTGGTTTGGCTTTACAGTAAATACCAAGTGAATTTTTCATTTGGTAGATTTTTTTGATGGAATTCACTAACTTGGTAGATTTATGTTGTTTATAGAATACATATGAGTTTTCATGGTTATCAATCGTTCAATACCTCTATATGGTTACAGAGGGTTGAAGGTGTTTATACCATATTTAGGGCCTCCGTATTTAGACCTCGTATAAATACTCGGGGGACTCAAATGTAATTATGCAATAAGGAAAGGGGCAAATATGTAATAAGTGAGGAGTCCTTATTCTATAAAAGGACTCCTCATCCTCACAATTAGGGGGAGGCCAATTCCTAGGCCTGAGATCCCCTCTCTCACCCTCAGAAGCTCTCAGAAGCTCTCACCCGCTCCCTCTCTATTCCCTCAAATAAATACATAATCAGTGTGGACGTAGCCCAAACCTTGGGGTGAACCACGATACATCTTGTGTTATTTACATTTCATGCAGATTCACAGTCGGATTTACGTTGTTCCAAGACCTTCGGTTTTGTGCATCAACATTTGGCACCGTCTGTGGGAATCGACACGAAAAACTATGTCGGTTCTCTCTCAATTTTTCATACCACTGTGGATCTGCTAAATCACAAAAATCCAAAAAACCAAATCTCTATCTTTCTCCTCTCTCGGTCAGTCCTACACAGAAACCAAAATAAAAAAAAAGAAATCAAAAGAAATAAAAAAAGAAATCCAAATGTAAATCTCTCTCTTTCTCCTCCAAGACAAAGGGCTGTCGAAGATCCAGACGCAGAAGAAGGGAAATGAGGTGTATCCCGACGACAGCACACCCCTTGTGAAGGCTCAGACGATCGACGAGCTCCACTCGCTGCAGAAGAAGAAGTCGGTACCCACACCACCCCTATCAAGGGCACTCAGGGTGTTGCCTTTGCCGTCACCATCTCTGAGGATGAACGACACAAGCAGCAGCTCCAGTCCATCAGTGCATCTTTGGCATCCCTGATCTCATCGATGTCAAACCCGGAGACCAAATTCTCGACGTCGAATGAGAGAACTTTCTTGAGATGCCATTCCCGGATAGCAGCTTTGACGACGCGCACTCGATCGAGGCGACGTGTCACGCACCAAAGCTGGATGAGGTGTATGCCGAGACCTTCCGGGTTCTGAAGCCCGGTGTTCTGTACGTGTCGTACGAGTGGGTGACGACAAACAAGTACAAGGGTGAGGACGCTAAACACGTGGACGCAAGAGAGAATGTCTTGGTGGTGGTCCACATCAGCATTCCGGTCTCGGAGGCTTCTTGAGTGGTTCCCGGAGCTGAGCCTGTCGATCGTGGACGACGTTGTTCGACCGCTGGTGACGGCGTTCGAGTCCGTGACCTTGGTCTCTATGCTCCTCTTCTTCTTCGTTTTTCTACGACTGCACCGTCTTAACTGACTTCCTATCCTACTTGTCCCTACAAGAACGACTTCAGTTGCGAAGGGGCTGGAGTGGCGAGACTTTCAGAGGCGGAGATGCCGATGCTCAAACTGTAGGGAAGCGTTGAGCACGTGACTTGTGGGTCACGAGCATAGATTGCAGCTCGGACAACAGGAAGCTCAGAGGGATTGGATCTGGGATTGTGGGTCGAGCATTGCACAACCCATGATTGATGAGAGCAGAAGAGCTTCTTTTGATCGTAGATTGAGCTTGGATTTGGGGAATGCTGAGCTTTTGAAGGATACTTTGCAAAATGTTAAAACTACAGTATCTGCCGCATCAAACTTTGTTCATCCTCCACAAAAGAAACGGGCATTCAAGATGAGCGCACATGAGGAAGACAGTAGTGGAAGACAGGCAGAAGATAAGTTAATAATAAATTTTCTTTATTATTAATGATATGATGACTGTCTGCCATCTGCCCGCCACAATTAAGAAACTGGAGTCCAAATCCGAAAAGAAGGATTCCAACATTTCGTCCATCCAGAAAAAGCTTCAAGATTCGGTCTTATCCAACAAAAAGAAAGGCCCTCGGACAACACAAATAAAATAAATAAATAAAGAGAAAGCAAAAGAGAGGCACATGGAAACACTGCAAAAGTAAGAAATAAACACTCCACCAGAATGATGTAATTTATTTTTATTATCTTTAAGAGACATCTGTATAAACCCCATCAGAGGGTAATATGTATAAACCTCATCAGAGGGTAAAATAAAAAATAAATAAATTAAAAAAAAAAAAAAAAAAGCAAAGCCCAAAATAAATGGGCTGGAATACTAGGTGGTGAGCGAAGGCCCGTATGCCCAAAAGAGCCAGGCCCTCTATTATCACTAACCAGGTGATCAAAATTACGTCCAACACTACAAAAAATTATTCAGCACCCCGCCGCTATTACCACCAACCAAGTGATCAAAAGTACGCCTAATACTCCAAAATTATTCGGCAACCTGCCGCTATTACCACCAACCAGGTGATGAAATGTACAACCCGTACTCTAATATCATTTGGCAACTAGACATTCATGCCACCAACCAGGTGATAAAATGTACAACCCGTACTCTAATATCATTTGGCAACTAGCCATTCATGTCACCAACCAGGTAATCAAAAGTACGCCCAGTACTTTATATTATACGTGAGCATTACTCATGTCAATCATACATAAAAATTCATAAGCATCACTCATATCAATCATACATAAACATTCATGAGCATCACTCATGTCAACATTCATGAGCATCACTCATGTCAACATCCATGAGCATCACTCATGTCAATCAAACATTCATGAGCATCACTCATGTCAATCAAACACTCATGAGCATCACTCATGTCAATCAGCTTCAAAAGCTTCATTTACAAAAGCTCTAGCTTCAAAGCTTCATTTACAGAGCTTTACCTACAAAGCTTCAGTGCAAGGTATACAAATACCGTATTCGAACAACCGCCACTTCGGCCCATACATGGATTCAATTTAAAGTCTCCAGCCAACAGACTCTATTGACCGAAGACTTGGGGGACTACATTAGGTACCATATATTGGGCCTCAACTGGGCCTCATGAAAAATACTTAGGGGACTCTAGCCCATCACTTATGTATTGAGGAGCGAGCCCTTATTCTATAAAAGGGACTCCGTCACCACCATTAGAGAGCATCGCCACCTACTGAGCAACCGCCTCGCCGCGATCATCAACTCTAGCCCATCATTTATGTATTGAGGAGCGAGCCCTTATTCTATAAAAGGGACTCCCTTACCTTCAACGCCACAAGCTGAGCCAACCAAGGCAACATAAGCCACAAGCCAAGCAGCCTCGCAGCGTGTGCTACTTCTAGTTGAGCGTCATTTCAGATTGAGCACTGCCTCATATCGAGCATCAGTTCAAGACAGTATCTAGTTACTTCGGCCCACACATGGACTGAATTTCAAGTCTCCAACCAAAAAACTCTCTTGACTGAAGACTTGGGGGACTACTGTTTATACCATATTTAGGGCCTCCGTATTTAGACCTCGTATAAATACTCGGGGGACTCAAATGTAATTATGCAATAAGGGAAGGGGCAAATATGTAATAAGTGAGGAGTCCTTATTCTATAAAAGGACTCCTCATCCTCACAATTAGGGGGGAGGCCAATTCCTAGGCCTGAGATCCCCTCTCTCACCCTCAGAAGCTCTCAGAAGCTCTCACCCGCTCCCTCTCTATTCCCTCAAATAAATACATAATCAGTGTGGACGTAACCCAAACCTTGGGGTGAACCACGATACATCTTGTGTTATTTACATTTCATGCAGATTCACGGTCGGATTTACGTTGTTCCTAGACCTTCGGTTTTGTGCATCAACAGAAGGTAATCTCTATACATTTTGTAAATAGCACTTCCTAGCTATGGCATATCAGCATTCTCAATTTTCTCATGTAATATATGTATATAAACACTATTCTTTAGCACATACTTTTTCAAAATTTTCTACACGTTTAACATAGTTTTGTAACCCACGGTATAACGCTGGTTTAGCTGCTTGTATAAACTAAAATTCAGTAACAAAATGGTAAGCCTTAGTGTTTGAGTGGTGTATGTAAAAAGTGTCCCTAGCCAAGCTAGTAGAATTTCATGGGAAGATACTTGGAAGTTGAATAACAGTCGAGGCTTGAGATACAACCCTGCCCTTCTGCCGTTTAGACATTTTATTTAGCTTATGAGTCAGTGGTAGCTGTAGATCAGGAGCTAGGTTAGATGACTTTGTGTGATCACATCCCCGCTCAATTTTTCTTGATTTGAAAAGTTCATATATTTATTAAAAAGACATCAAGCACACAGACTCACCTGCGTTAATATTTCTTTCCTTTACATAACAGGTAAATCAAATGCATCTAGATATATATAGTTTGGTGTGAGTTTGACAAATTTTGTTTTGACAAACTTTAATTTAGTGCTATTTGTGGAGCCAAAAATAATCACAAAGCGACACGTGGATTTTTGGGTGAAGATGACAAATTTACCCTCGAGGCATACTGGGTCTCCTACACACGAGCAGTGGAGAATCATCCAACAATCAAATCAGGAGTACCCAAAATGGGTAACAAGTTCAAATTTGTCTCATCCATCCTCATTCCATAACCTCCAAAAACCTCCCAAAACATTTCTTTTATTATGATAATTAGCCAATTAATATATTTATACCTAATTAATATATTAATTGCTAATTGAATCACCAAACAACACCCCAAAACACACTTAAAGGCCGGCCACACCCCATTCCCTATATATATGACCATATTTCTTCTAAAAAGATAAGTTGATACTCTTGCAAAACTCTAAAACATGTTTTCTCTCTAAATTCTAACTTTGGCATCGGAGGTTCTTCGGCCAAAACCCGTCCCATTCATCGTGGGCACGTGATGTTCTTGGCCTTGACCAAAGGTGTTGATTGTTTTGTAGGTGCAATTTTGTCCAAGAAGAAGAAGGTGGAAATTTGCATCCACAAATTGGTGCTTTCATTGAGAGTTGAGATTCACACTCATAGAAGACTCTCGCACAAAAAAGTTTTTCTCTATTTTCTCTATTTACTAGTCCATTTGTATTTTTTGTACGTTCTTATTATTAGAAATTGTTATTTGCAAAGATTCTTTGATAAAACGTAAAAGAGAAATACAATGGTTAGAAATTTAGAAAATTTCACAAGTGAAAATTCCAATATTCAAGAAATGGGACCGCGACAATTCACAAGACTAAATGTGATCTTAGGGGGAGCGGCATCGCCACCACAAGGCTCGACCATGGTAACCACCGCGGTGGCCACAATGGCAATCACCCACGGCGAGGTGCATGACTCCACCACCACGGCGCGAGCCATGTCACTCCATGCCTAACGCGAGCCCTATGCGTTGCCAAGTCGAGCTCAAGCCTCGCATACGCAAGCATCACACGCCGAGCAGCCTACTTCCACAGTCTTGCTTGCTCCTGACGAGCAGCCCACTTTCATAGCCCAGCCTACTCCCACCGAACAACCCACTCTCGTGGCCTAGCCTGCTCCGAACAGCCCACTCCTGTGGCCCAGCCTGCTTCCATCGAGTAGCCCACTCTCGTGGCCTAGTCTGCTCCCGACGAGCAGCCCACTCCCGTGGCCTAACCTGCTTCCACCGAGTAGCCCATTCTCGTGGACTAGCTTACTCCCGACGAGCAGCACACTTCCATGGCCCAGCCTGCTCTCGTGGCCCAGCCTACTCCAGCCGAGCAACCCACTCTCGTGGCCTAGCCTGCTTCCGATGAGTAGCCCACTCTCGTAGCTCAAATCGGTCCAAGATTAGTTCAACCATCCCGATTTCAAATTTTTGGGCTTACGATCGAACCAGGGGTATTCTTACCACATTTCTCTGCGGATTTGACATTTCCCAACTCAAATCTAGCGCCCAGAGTCTACCACATTTCCACTGCTTAAGGAGGCACATTCCTTCCAAGCTCTTCCAATCCAAATGGTGAACAACACTTGTCTTGACAAGTCATAGAGTTGATAAGCACCCTAGCACAGCAAACGACCTTGGTGAACCAGCTCTTGCAGCGCACCAAGATGCAACGTGCCCCAAACGAGGTGTCCCAAAGTAGGACAAGGGCAGATAAAGAACCTCTCCAGTAGCATCCTGGCAAGAAGCTACTCAACCATCCACGAACTGAGCGTTTGGGCAGAGTACACTCCCGATTGGGCCCCCGAGATAGCGTATACTCTCGTCTTAGCGCCCGGATGAGTGTGCACTATCGACTAGGCCCATGGACGAGCATATACTCACGGTTGAGGACGCACTCCGATAATCAACATGAGCAACCTTCCAAGCGAAATATTTATTCACGGCTAGGCCCGCAATGAGTATCCTCCACAATACATCGGAGCATGCAGCACAGCAGACGGAAAGAAGCAGTCATTCAATCCGGCTCAAGTTCAACCAGCAGCCTGTGAGTTCCACGTTCGCCTGCTAGGAACATACCACACCCATCGCAGCTACGACATAGATGAGCCAAACGTATGGAAGAACAGCTTAGACCAGCATATCACGATCGGGGGCAGTCGAGAGCTCGCCACCCTAACAAAGGAAAATTCAGGAAGAAGTAGAAAGGCTTCTGACCAAGTGATTGCGCAATTTCTCGCGCCAACTAAGCCTTAAAAGGGTCTACTCTCCAGTGCAAGAGGATAAACTAATTGTTCTCCAGTGCGAGAGGGTAAACCAATTCCCCAACACCCAAAAGGGTCTGCTCTCCAATGCGAGAGGATAAACTAATTGCTCTCAAGTACGAAAGGGTAAACCAATTCCCCGGCACCCATATGGGTTTGCTCTCAAGTGCTCCAGTGCGAGAGGATAAACTAATTGCTCTTCAGTGCGAGAGGGTAAACCAATTCCCCGACACTTATATGCGTTTGCTCTCCAGTGCGAGAGGATAAACTAATTGCTCTCCAGTATGATAGGGTAAACTAATTGCTCTCCAGTGCGAAAAGGTAAACTAAATCTCTGACACCCATCTGGGTAAGCTCTCCAGTGTACGAATGCCACATAGTTCAAAAGATCGAATGCTTGAAGATCAATTAAGCAACAAATGTTGAAAAATCAAACTCAAGCAGTTTCCTCATTTTCAGCAGACAGCCCAAACGTGGCAGCCCAAACAATTGCCTATCCCACGCCACTTCCTCGCCCTATGCCGAACTAATCTTTGGCTACAATCAAGCCAAGCTGCTCAAGCAATGGCCCCTGCCACATCACCTCCTTGGCCCATACCAAGCCGACTCCTGGCCCCTGCCAGCCGACGTGCCGCACCACCCAACGACTGCCCTGTAGCAGCACCACCTAAGAAGAAGACAAGAAGAAATTAAGTTTTTTATTACATTGGTGCGGCACGGAGAAGACGAAGAAAGCTACGAAAGACGGTCCTTAGCACGGGCAAGATGTAGAAGATTGCTAGAGGAGGAGGAACAAATATCCTCTAAGCTCTCTCTCTCTCTCTCCTGTAGGTTAGAATAAATCACTCTCCAAAGTTGATTTAATAACCTACTTAAGATGGACTTAAATAGGTTTTGAGAGAAATTTATTTCCTTTTCCTAGAATGATCTAATTTCATATTAAAGAGGGAATCTACATCAAAACAGGAAGCAGTCTTAAGTTTCCTATAGCAAGAAGATCTCTACACCTGCTGCACTTTCCTACGAGCAGCCCAGCAGGTGTGGGGGCATTTGTGGAGCCAAAAATAATCACAAAGCGACACTTGGATTTTTGGGTGAAGATAACAAATTTACCCTCGAGGCATACCGGATCTCCTACACGCGAGCAGTGGAGAATCATCCATCAACTAAATCAAGAGTACCCAAAATAGGTAACAAGTTCAAATTTGTCTCATCTTCCATAACCTCCAAAAACCTCCCAAAGCATTTCTTTTATTATGATAATTAGCCAATTAATATATTTATACCTAATTAATATATTAATTACTAATTGAATCACCAAATAACACCCCAAAACACACTTAAAGGCCGGCCACACCCCATTCCCTATATATATGACCCTATTTCTTTTAAAAAGCTAAGTTGATACTCTTGCAAAACTTCTAAAAATCCTCTAAACACTTTTTCTCTCTAAATTCTAACTTTGGTATCGAAGGTTCTTCGGCCAAAACCCTCCCATTTCATCGTGGGTACGTGAGGTTCTTGGCCTTGACCAAAAGTGTTGATTGTTTTGTAGGTGCAATTTTGTCCAAGAAAAACGCGGAAATTTGCATCCACACTATTCAATCAAATAAATTGTCAATATGATTAACATAAAAATTCGGTTAAAACTGGTTACAATAGTTGATATAACGAATAAATACACGCCATAATATAATATGTTATCACCAAATAAAAAAACACTTACCATTAACAAATATTTTACTTATTTTATAGCTCAAAAGTTGCCCTTATTAGAAATTCTTTAGTTCCGTCCCTGATTGCATGCCATCAAAAGATTTTATAGGTTAGATTAGATGACTAGGTGTGGCAATGCGAGATAATAGTGTCAACGAATTGAAAAAGAAAAACAGTTAATTCCTTTCTAACACAGTTGGATATGCATTAACAGAGGGCAAAGTGACTCTTCAAGATCTGAAGGGACAACCTCCTCATGGCTTCACTGGTCAATAACCTTGCATATTCCCACTACTAAATTTAACAGTCGTGACGAAGAACATTTGGTCGCGCAAAGAGAAAGTTCGTTGCATAAATAATAACGCGACAAAGGTATGGTCGCGAAAGAAGATCTTGTGCAACGAAACTAAGGGCTGGTTTGGTATTGCTGAGCTTTGAAAAAACACTGTCGTGAGAATAAGCGGTTGTGCTGTGAGAATAAGCGGCTGTAAAATAAATCAGCAGAGTGTTTGGTAAACTTTTTTGTAAAAGTGCTTTTGGAAAAAAAAAGTCTGATAGTGGGTCTTTTCATTAAAGGAGCAC